CACTTTTAGGTTGCCTACAATAACACATTAATTATGAATCTGGAAAGCAGATACTCTAGTATTTTGAAACATACAGTACACACCATAAATCCAAGTTTATTCCAGCCAGCTACATAATGAGTTGGGTTCTCTCCAGAGTTGGTGGTGGGTGGCCCTCAGTAAAGCATAGAATGGCACTCCTCTTTGATATTAAATTGTAGTTTTGGTTTATTAGTGTAACAAAAATTAATCCACTGTGATTATAAAAATGTCAAAAGGGGGAGTACTGTTTATAGGCACTGTATGTACTAACACAGCTTTCATTTTGCAAAGGGCACAGATTTTTTTGCTGTTTATTACACCTATGCTGAAGCCCAGTTCAGAAAGCTGACCTGGCTCATGCTTGGTCACTTTTAATTAATTGTAGATTACTTTGTGATCTATAGCCAAACAATGGTTCCTTAACAAAGTAGATATATTCAAAAGAACTTACGTGTTTAAGCTATTTCTGTGTTTTGAAAGAAAGAATTGTTAATGTAATTCTACAGTTTATAGCCTAAGTTTTATATCCAAACCATAACAAAATACAGTCTTTGACATTAGCAAATATAAATCCTATTTACGAATCTGACTGGCAAATGGTGTAGCATTTTTTTGTTGTTGACATATTTTGATATCTTTTTCTGTTGACTTTAGAACAAAAAGTGTACCCTTTATTGTTCCACCAAAGTTTCATGGACGGGACTGGGTTGGCATACAGAATGGAGAACGTATCCAAGAAGACAGCGAGCCATATACTGCTCCAGATTTCCTTCCACGATCATCCTTCTGCTCTATGGGTACAATATTTCCTATTAAAACTCTGTTAAGGCAGTATTTGTACTAACATTTTGATGTGTGATTAGGTGTAGCAATTAAGGAGCATTTCTAGTTTGAATAGAAATCACCTGATTCTATAAATGACTGAAAGTGTAATTCTCTCCCATCTCTGCAAATACACAGTTTTATCAGTGTTTTAGATTTCTTTTTCTGGTATACAATACAGTCTCATATTGCATCTTGATGGGGGTTCAGGTTCACCACTACCTTGGGTTTGTTGCAAACCATGTGTGTGTGTTCGAGGTTCACAGACCCACTGAAATAATGTTGGAATTTTCCCTAGTAACTGTAATTTAACTTAGCTCAGCTGGTTAAGAAGTGGCTTCCGAATAAGCCAGCCCCCTCACTATTAAACAGTCATAGCTGTGAAAGATAAAACAAAATGTGTGTCACTGATAAAGCTCCTAGGAAGGAAGTAATAGTATAGGGCTGGCAGGCACTGGCAGGTTTGTTAAAGTAGAAATAAACCCATACAGAATGTCATGTAGGTAGCAAAATACTGTGCACCTTTTATTTTTTTTCATCCTTCATTATATCTTAATGTTTCTGATGACCTGACTCTGTCCACATACACCACAGTGATAACAGGCTACATGTGTTTTTTACAAGGCATATGCCCTAATTGTTGCGGTTTGCATTTATTTTTTTCACAGGCTTTTTTTTTTTAAAGTGGACCCTCCATGAAAGGAAGGCCTGCTCTATTAACCGCTTTCCCGCCGCCCTATTGTAGAACTTCTGCTACAGGGTGGTAGGGCTGCGCAAAATCATGTATATATACTTGATTTGCATTACCGGGTAGGGGGGGGCGCAACATGTCTCCCTAGTAAAACACACACAGCACATCATGTAAAACAGCTCACAGTTAACCCTTTGATAGCCCTAGATGTTAACCCCTTCCTGCCCAGTGTCATTAGTACAGTGTCAGTGCTTTTTATTAGCACTGATCATTGTATTAGTGTCATTGGGATGTAGTTGGCAGTTAGTTCCCACCCAGTGTCAGAATGCCCGCCGCAGTCCCGCTATAAGTCGCTGATCGCCACCATTACTAGTATTAAAAAAAATCCATTATATACAGTATACCACCATTTGTAGATGCTATAACTTTCACATAAACCAATTAATTTACATATAAAGTGATACAAATAATAAAAATGTGAAAAAATATATATATATTAAAGTTCAACAAAAGTCTCAAATTAAAGTCCAATGTCCCAAAAATTGGTGAAAAAATTAAATAATAGAACTTTAACTCAAGAAAAAAATAAAAGATAAAAAAAAAAAAAAAAAAAATAAAATAAAAAAAAAAAAAAAAAAAAAAAGAACTTTAACTCAAACTTCATACATTTTTGTTGGACTTTAATATATATTTTTTTCACATTTTTATTATTTGTATTATTTGCGCTGTAACACTTTTGAGTATATTTTGATGTTTAGTTAATTTCTGAACAGCAGAATTTATTTAAATTATTGTCTATTCCTTTGGCGCAAGTTTTCTATGTATTTTGTGCAATTAATTTACATGTATTGGGGATTTTTTTTAGCAGACATGTAGCAGAATACATTTTGGCCTAAATATATGAAGACATTTGATAATTTTACATTTTTTTATTGGCTAGGCTTTATAGCAAAATGTAAAAAATAGTTTTTTTTTTCAAAATTGTCAGTCTTTTTTTGTTTATAGCACAAAATATAAAAATGCACAGGTGAACAAATACCACCGATAGAAAGCTCTGTTTGTTGGAAAAAAAGAACAGATTTAATTTATCACACTGTTACATGACCAAATTGTCAGTTAATGTAACGTAGCACTGTATCGCAAAAAATGGACTGGTCAGGAAGGGGGATAATGGTTAAAAGCCCCTCAACCCACAAAGTCAAATCACCTACAAATATAAGTGTTGAACTGCTAAGAAGAAAAAAGAAGGAAAAAAACACCTTGGCGTGACTACTGATGCTTGCGAGAGGCACAGGTGACTTCATTGTGTCTCACTACTCCATTTTGGGATAGCAAGGTGCTTGAAATACGTAGATAATATGTTCCTGCAATGAGATGGAGTGCATTCTCGCAGGGGCTAGCATTAAGGATGAATTTTACAGTATGTGCAGAGACCAGTGTTTTCCTGCATTGTAAAACACCGGTCACAATAAGGACACACAGAAAGCAACTGTTTTCAGTTTGTCTCTGTAAGCCGTGTACCGAGGTGGGCTCCCCAGGACACAGTGAAGTCACGAACGAGGAAGGCAACCCCAACACCAGGTTTTGCCACAACAGAATTTTACTTAAATGTGGCAAATAAACACAACCACAAATGCTGGGAACATACAATAAATTTACATACACCCAGCCAAAGGCTGAGACCCTTGTGCTGCACAGCACGGCGCCTTCTGATGGATGAAGGCAGAAAGTGTAGTAATTTACCTACTGGTGGGCACAACTAAGCTGCCACACCTTACCTGTTATTACCCTAAAAGAGCAAGAATCAGTGTATGGGTGTATGGTATGGGCTAGCCTGCGGTGCAGCACAACAGCTTACAATCTTACACAAATCTACAGTACTCCCCCCCTCCCATAACTGGTCCTGTAGCACGTGCCTGAGTATTCCTTCTGAGCAAAACGCCAGTCTGGCTTGAGTTTGTGGGATTTTATCAGCTCTCCAATGTGAAATGTCACTTTAAGTTGTGGAGTCCTTCCAATGATCAGTAACAACACTTGTGGCCTGACACAAACAGAGACCCTAACTAACTATAAGCCTGTCTCAGTCTCTGGAGGCGCCACCACTGAAATAAGGTGTGTGCACGATCTTACTGACCTGGGTCTGCCTTGCATCCGCTGGTGACTCAGAACAGATGTCTCTCCCACAAGCATGCTATCTCATCAGCCTTCCTGGCAGCGATCTTCCTTTCTCTGAACAGGATCAGCGTCTTGAACACCATCAGCTTCACTAGCTGCAGTTCTCACACCTGGATGCCAACGGATTCTCTGCTCACATGGCTCTTTTCCTTCACCATCATCAAAACATGGCTGCAGTCTCTCCTCCTGTTCACTGAGCTCCCATGTGTAAAACCCCACCCCTTCCTGAATATAGAAATATCTATGCAGTCTGAGGCTGTGTTAGAAAAACAGTGACATCTTGTGGCTAAATCGCAGAATGTCAGTAAAACATTTCAAAACATTTAATTCACAATGAGAGCTGTTTCCCCATCTCACATCTCATTCACACTGCTAAGCAGCCAAGAGCTGTGCTGCAGCAAACTGTGATAAAATGCAGACATGTTGCATTTTATCACAGCACACCGTAAAAGATTGTATGTCACTGTACAGTAGCACATCTTATAGCTATAGGTCAATTTACCTAATACCACTTTTTTATTTTTGTATTAAGTTGAAATGAATTGGACTAGGATATTACTATGGTATATAGGCCAAGCTAAATGTAAAGGTTAAATTGTCAATTACAAATCCAAATATGTGATGTCAAAATATGGTGTTGCTAATGCTGTTTGTGAAAATTGCACTTTTTTGCACCACAAATTGCACCACATAGAAATTAAAGGTAACTCTCAAGCATGTAATTGAAAGGATTTTCCATGTTTCCCTTCAAGTTGTGGTAAAAGAATAATCTTCTACATTTTTGCTTTGTTAAATGAGGGCATAACAATGCCCAGCTTGCCATGCTTTTTTGACAATTGCTTGCCTATTAGCTGAGAAATTAGCCAGAATGTAGCAACAAGATTCACTCCCACACAGACTTCACTGGAGTTCCATTTAAAGCTAAATTTGGGATTTTAAACAGGATTTGAAGAACCCTGGCAGATATATTGGCATTCCATGATCATTTTGTCTCTAAATGGTCAAATGTTCAATGTAAGCACCACTACAGCAATGTTCTAGCTGTTACTAAAAACAGTAAATTGTTAAATTGGGACCCCTTTGTATTATTATACAGAATAATAATAAGAAGCATATGGAGGGTTTTTATAATCAAATTTAAATAATAAAAGAATAACCTTCAGTGAAAGTGGTATATTCTGTGTCTATCACTGCTATTTGATAATTAAGCTAATCTTTTTTTTTTTTATATTATGGCTGCTAGAAAATATAATAATCTAATCTACTCTCACAATTATTAGGGGGAGCATATGTTTTGGGCTCCATCAACCCAGCTTTGTACAAATATCCAGATGATAATGAAGAAACGGACTTCCCAGAAGGAAATATTGGGCGCATTTGGTTTGCTGTAGAGTATGAACATGAGACAGAAAGACTGGTGGTTTCTCTTATTAAAGTAAGAAACCTTCACTTCAATCCAGACTCCTGCAACCCTTTTGTGAAGATGCATCTCCTGCCTGATGAAAGGCGCTCTCTTCAGTCAAAAACAAAACGTAAAACTTTGAATCCCCAGTTTGATGAAAACTTTGTCTTTCAGGTATGTTCACATAATGCACTTGTGCTGACATGTTTGGTACAATTATCAGGAGGAAGGTTCCCATTTTACCAGGTCTAAAAAATTCACAGAGGTCGTGAAGGAGACATAAGAGAGATTGTTATGTTTAAAGCTGAATTCCAGGAATTCAGCTACTTTGTAAAAAAAAAAAACTGCAGGAATATCATGAGTTAAGTTTAACAAGGTGCCTGCCCCCTGTGGATTTATCTTTATTATTTATATCTGACAGGTTTGTTGTGCTCCAGGAAGATAACTTCTGGAGCTCTCAACCTTGCTCACTGTGTGTCTTAGTTCCTTTAAAGGCAGAGTTGCTGGACCTGCTTTGCACAACCTTCCTCTCCTTCTGCCCATTCACAGAAGTCTTTGTATTATTTGAACTCATTCACAAAATAAAAAGGCTTCTGTGAATAGGCAACAGAGGGGAGGGGAGGGGTGGTCCTAACTGCTCTGCATGCTCCTCTTTCACAGCCTCAAGTGTCCCCTGTATCCTCCAGGAGTGCTGGTAACACAAAAGTAATAGTGATAAGTCCCAAAGGTGACAAGTACCTAATCAAACTTAACTCATAGTGTGCCTGCACTTTTTGCAAAGTTGCTGAATTCTTGAAATTCAGCTTTAAACACTCCAAATTCTACACTTTTTTTGTGGTAGAGAGGGAAAAGGGTAGAACCCCCGGGAGATCTGAATTGTTGTCTGCACTGTCTTGTCCATGGGATGCCTGTTTCCATCATTTCCTGTTCTATTGTTACAGGGAGTAAACATAAAAGGGCATCTTTTCGGTAGAAATACAGACAGTATTGAAAGCCTGACAGAAATTCTAACTCTTCTTCTATGTACTTGAAACGTAAAAAGAATCAAAACAAAACATTTAACCTACAGTTTAGCTTTAATATGGTATTCAGTTACTATTATTTTCAACAGAAATAATTTGCAGAGGTAAAATAAAAAAGCATGTATAATTGCAGAATGAAAACTGTAATAAACTATGACTAAGACAAAGAGATTCTGTATACTCACAATTTTAACATAGCAGAAGTGAAGCTCCATGCCCTGAATGGCTGGCCACAATGTGCCCATTGCATAATCAGCATTGAGTACACTGTAGTCAGATTATTACATGAGGATTTGTTTAAAATGGGCTACTGTAGTTAGCACTTCGATGGCAGCCTCACCAAAAAAGCTGACAAACTTGAACTTTTCTTTGTGAAACCCATTTTAGGACTCAAATTGTTTTGTATATTTCTGGAACCCAGCTTATAGTTCAACTAAATGCTCATACTGTAGTGACTCAGTAAGCATTAACGCTATAAGGTTTAACATATCAGCCAGGCAACTAGCATTTTCAGAAGCAGGTGTAAGAAATGGTGACTCGTATAGTTTTATCATTGCAGGTTTCACTTAAGCCCCAGGTGCCATTTTAAAACCTCCCAGGGACAGCAGCTATTTGTCCCAGTACTGTTCTTTTGGTTTCTGGCTTCCGCATTTTGTTTACAATGAGTGATGTCACAGCGCTTCCTCCTTGTACAGAGTTTCATACAGAGATGAAGCAGCCCTTACATCTCTCCCCCTTCAGCAAATTACCCATATTGAAGTCAGGGTTCACTATATTGCCAAAGGTATTGGGACCCCCCTCCACATCATTGGATTCAGGTGTTCCAATCACCTCCATGGCCACAGGTATATAAAATCAAGCACCTAGGCTTGCAGACTGCTTCTACAAACATTTGTCAAAGTATGGCTCGCTCTCAGGAGCTCAGTGAATTCAAGCGTGGTACCGTGAAAGTCAACCCATGAAATTTCCTTTGTACTAAATATTCCACAGTCAACTGTTAGTGGTATTATAACAAAGTGGAAGCAACTGGGAACAGCAACTCAACCATGAAGTGGTAGGCCACGTAAAACGACGAGAGAGCGGGGTCAGTACATGCTGAAGCACACAGTGCGCAGAAGTTGCCACTGTCTGCAAAGTCAATAGCTAAAGAACTCCAAATTACATGTGGCCTTCAGATTAGCACAACAATAGTGCGTAGAGAGCTTCATGGAATGGGTTTCCAAGCAGCTGCATCCAAGCCTTACATCACCAAGTGCAATGCAAGGTGTTGGATGCCGTAGTGTAAAGCACGCCACCACTGGACTCTAGAGCAGTGGAGATGTGTTTTCTGGAGTGACGAATTCTCTTTCGCTTCTCTGTCTGGCAGTCCGATGGACGTGTCTGGGTTTGGCTGGTGCCAAGGAGAACGGTACTTGTCGGACTGCATTGTGTCAAGTGTAAAGTTTTAGTGGAGAAGGAATTAAAGTTTGCGGTTGTTTTTCAGGGTTGCGCTTGGCCCCTTAGTTCCAGTGAAGGGAAGCCTTAAGGTGTTAGCATACCAAGAAATTTTGAACAATTTGATGCTGTTTGTGGGAACAGTTTGGGGATGGCCCCTTCCTGTTCCAACCTGACTGGCCTGCACAGAGTCTGACCTCAACCCGATAGAAAACCTTGGGATGAATTTAGAGTGAGACTGCGAGCCAGGCCTTCTCATCCAACATCAGTGCCTGACCTCACAAATGCGCTTCTGGAAGAATGGTCAAACATTCCCATAGACACACTCTTAAACCTTGAGGACAGCCTTCCCAGAAGAGTTGAAGCTGCTATAGCTGCAAAGGGTGGGCCGCCAACTCAATATTGAACCCTATGGACTAAGACTGGGATGCCTTTAAAGTTCAAGTTCATGTATATATTTTTTTAATAAAAATTACTGAAAAAAAGTTCTCCTCAGATTAATCCCCAGGTTTCAATAATAATGCCTAATCATCAAAGGTAAAAAAGTTTTGGGCATAAAATTAGCTAATCTTACATAATTTTGGGGTGCTGAAAAACGAAAATGACCCTAAAAAATGTTGATTGGCTCTAGTTTCCATGATATATTCACCCATCTAATGACGTAAGCCATTCAAAATTATGATGGCAACTTCAGCTGCATATTGCGCAATTGATACTGGTGACCAATAGAAAATTGCATGTATACTGAGATGAATGCAATATTAGCCTTTAATTGCATCACTTCACTGCATAAAAGCTGCAGTATCTGTAGCTGATTGTAGTTCGACAGCGTCTTTACATTTCGTTTTATGCTTATATAGGGACTCAGTAATGCCTCGAACTTGTGTGAATAAAGCAGATCCATTTCTGCTATATCTGCAGTGAAATAACTTTCATCTCACAAAAAAGGAGGATATACCTGGAGATATTGATTAAGAAACCCTACAACTTGTATTTTGGCTGCAAGATAGGAGACCAGGACAAGAGCTGGGCACCACATATATGCTGCAATTCTTGTGGGACGGCACTGGAGCAATGGTTGAATGGAAAAAAGGCATCTATGCCTTTCGCTGTGCCAATGATTTGGAGAGAGCCAACAGATCATGTTTAGTAATTGTTACTTTTGTATGGTGCCTCCCAATTGTAAAAGGGCTAAATAAGAATTTATCTGTGCACTATCCAAATATTCCATCGGCTATACGTCCAGTTCCTCATGGAGAGAGGGGCTACCAATTCCTAAAGCACCAGAATCCTTCGTGGTTGAGTCAAGTGAGGAAGAACCTGAAGCGTGTAGTCACGTGCAGTTGTAAGAGATAGCCCTTTCCTCGAATACAAGAGAAAAAAGCCAAGAGAAGCAAAAAAACCGACACAAACTGAAGACAAAACTAGTGAGAATCCTAAGTATTAAAATGATTCAACTTAGCTTATGGCTATAATTTTTCTTGGTAATCCTATGCAATTATATTATGCCATTTAGGCTTTGTTATGTAGTCAATATCACTTGCTTTATATTTGTGGAAAGACATCTATCTATATAATTATTGTGCATTATGTAGTCATTACGCCTATAGTAGAAAACTGTCCGTTTACAGAAAAACTAGAGCCAATTGACAAATTTCATTGTTATATTTGAACTCAGAATGTGAAATTCATTAAGAAATGGATCCTTTTGTTTCCAAAACTGGCAAAAAATAAAAATTTGTTGAACAGTGTAATCTGGCCGAAATTTGCTTTTACAGTGCAAGCTTCAAAACAAATGCTCACTTAAAGGGGAACTTCACTTAAAAGTGAGAGTACTTCTAATTTGCTTACCCTCATCTAACATATTTGAAAAAGTTTTTTTGGGGGGAGGTGGAGCCAGCACCATTTTCTGACAGGAAATTGCTCTCACTTCCGAAATTCTCACCCAGGCGAGAATTATGGATAGTTGGCTTGACTCCCTCCCCTTTAGCAATCTCCTGTGACCCATCACATGTCCCAAGAGGCTGCAGGACCAACCTGACAGCACAGTGTGATCTTGTGCATGCACAGTGGGGAGCCAGCTGTGAAACAGCAAGAAGTCACAGGTTGCTCCCAAAGCCAAGATGGCAGCTCCAGGAATACAAAAACTGGTGAAGGACCAGCCCGTGTGAAAACAGCACAGGGCAGATGAGTGTCTATTTCTTAAAAGTCAACAGCTTCAATATTTTTTTTTTTGCAAATGACTGGAGTTTTCTTTTAAAGTGTTACTAAATCCACAACAGTAAAATCAGTCTGTATATGCAGTAAAGCATGCTTGCTATACTCCCTGTGGAACCTAAGGGTGTAATCCCCTGCATGTGTGTAAACCGGCTGTTTGATCCTGTCTTGTCTGATCCTTCCCTTCTTCTACTGCCCCCAGTCCATCTAGGAGTCACTCTCCACATGCTGTTTGGTGTGTATTGCTAGAGAGTTTTTCTTTTCTTAGGAGGGTGCATGCGATCAGCACAGGGTGAAACAGCCCTGTCCAGACAGAGGGGAGGGATTATGCAGCCTCATAGGACAGTCAGAGCAGAATGAAAACTCCTCCTACAAGCTTTAACCAGTGCTGAGCTGGACACTGATTGAAGTCGCAAGACTGCTATATACTGCTGATGAGAAAAGGTATTTAGCAGTTTATATTTACTAAAATAATTGCATTTCCATGTTCTGTGTACTGTG